TTTCACCTTGGTATTTGCACCACATAAAGTATTTGCCTTACCTTTGCTTCTGCTTTGGATGTCCACTGGCCTTTTGTCTATTTACCAAAGCAGGAAGTACCTAAATAGGAACAAAACTGAGTTAAAGTCTGACAGATCAATAACATCTGCCAGATACTATTGGCTCGGGCTTCTTATCAACCATTACTGTTAATAAAAGTGTTAAGCTCTATAGATAGGTGTCCCTTCTGAAGTTACAACACTGTGCTGCAATTTAACCCTTCTTCACATTTCCAAAAGTCAATCAGGCTGTCATTGAAACAATAGAATAAAATCACCAGTCCTTGATCTATTCCTGTTTCTATTTAAAGGTTATGAACAGTTGATTTCACATAAGATCTCATCAGCGTTCCTTAGTCAGCATGATTGTTCTGGACTGCCTGGCATTCCCACAAACTGATCAAGTAAGGTTATTTAGGAGCTTAGAGATAGGATGGGTGGAAAGGGAAAGTAGACAATATGCTGCCACCTTTTGGTTATAGAAATGAGAACAGGTATTATCTGGCAGATCTATCTAGTGGAAATTAAAAGACATCCATGCTTGTTTTCTGTAATAAAACAATCTGATAGTGTGAGATGCATCCCTTCATGTTCTAAACTGTTGCTATGAGCTTAGCTCACATATTTCATATTTGTTCAGTCTTGTTTGGGCTAATTAATAATTATCAATCAATAATTAATAATCTATCTCATTTAAAACACATAGGGTTGGGTTCACTCACCTAAAACTAATGCTCTGCATCACTAATCTGATCTGAGGAACGTAGCTGCAGAAATAGAAGGTACAATATCTCATTAATTAGTAGCTTGTAAAATTAAGTTACTACATGTCATAACTCCCATTGGGCTACTTGCATGGACACACATAGTAAGACAGCCTGACATTTTCATCACTAGGTTCATTACCAGTATGATCAGTATGTTGCAACTTTTAACTTTACCTGTTCAAGACAGATTTTCTGTGCTGGCTTGACTGCTCAGGACCTGAACAGTATTTTGTTTGCCTGTTTATTGAAATGTTGGTTCAGCTGTGTATGAGAATAAAAGATGGAAGAATGGCCATCTTAATAAAAGAAATGCAAGATTGTTCTGTTAAAAAGTTTGTGCACCTTCTAGTTTGATGCAGAGGCTCAAAATTTAACACAGAAGCTATCTGTATCAGGAATGTGCTTCTCACTGCTCCTATGAGTCACTGCACAAATTTGGGCCAAGTGATAAGCCTTTGAAAATCTCAGTTCAAATATGTTCTGCAAAGACTTAAGGGAGCTTGTGAGTTCAAGTCCATGAATGCTGTTACTCTCAGCTTCTATGTGCCAGAGGCTCTTTACATTTACTGTGCATACAGATTCACTGAGCGTGCCTCATCCTGGGGCACAAAAATCCATCACTTCATTTTGTGTTTCTCAATGCTGACACTGAATTGTCAATCTCTTCTCCTGGCATATGGATAATGCAAAGGGGAATCCTGTCTGCCTGTACTGCAGAAGGGACAGGAATTCTCCAACCACCATCAAGGCAGTGTTGTTAGGCCTGAAATGCCCTATACCAGTGACACATTGGTCCTTGAGATCTGAAGCCCCTGATAGTCTGCAAGGTCTAGCTCTGGGAGTACTTGACAGGGTGCTGAGGGTCCCTCAGGTGGAACACCAGGACAATATGCCCTAAGGGTGTTTGGCTATGAGATCACCTTACAGAACACTGCCCATGCAACCTGTGCAGACTGCACTCTGGTGCACTTCCCACCTGGAGTAGCCCCAGTCACTCAGCCGTGAGCAAAGCTGTGCAGCAGACCTGAACTAGGTCTTTATGCCACATCATGCCATTGTTACGCTTCACACATGGGTGCTTATGCAAAATGTCCCTGTCTCATGAAAGACTTCCAGACTTTTAATATACTAATGGTGCCACCCTACACTGCTGCACCACACTCCAAGAGCTAGGAGTTAGAGCACACCCTTGTACCTCAAGGAGTTCTAGGCTCTCCTGCCATTTGGAAGAGTATCCAGAGGACCACAGACATGAGAAAGCCTCTAGGAATTATCTTGTTTATGCACTGATCTCTCATCGACAGTCCTCACAGAGGCACTCAACAGCTTCACAGACACTGTCATATAAAGATCAAGAAGCAGAAGGAGACCTACAAGAAGACTGTTGGTAGGAATTTTGAAGCAGAACAACCCCCACCTATGTGTTATCACTTCTTTAGGGGGTTTAGCTCCATCATCCATCAGGAAAAAGAAGGGAGGAATTGATTTTATCTTGCTCTTTTTAAGGAGGGAAGTGGTGCACTGATTTGTGGTGCAGTGCCATGCTTAACCTCTCAGGGTGCCAAGTATCTTTCACAGGTCAGGATCATGTCATTAGCAGTCTGGGTCAGTGGTGGGAAGCAGCCAGACACATCCTTCCAGAGGTATATGAGACTTCCTTTTCCTACCAGTGAATTCCCCTAAGCCTCTTGGCAACCAGAATTCCTTCTTCCCATCTCAGCACTCATCTTCCACACAGCTCATGAACTGTTTTTTACCCATCTTCCAAGGGTGGGATTTTTATCCATTCACCCACAAGCTCAGCACCAGCACAGACACGCCTGTTGGCTAAAGCAGTCACTAAAGCCCCATCAGGTTAGAGAGGCAGGGAAATACCTAAACCATCAGGCCTGCTAGAAATACTCGCAGGGATGGCCTTTTTTTTTTTTCTTAGTTTTCTCTCCCTCTGCAACTTTTCTATCATTTTTAGGGAAGCATATCTAGCTTGTTGGTATAGAGCTGTAAATAGCTATTCAGTGCACAGAACGGACCAGAGTATGGAGATGAGTCAGGATTGTGTAATGAATCAGATCTTGTCCAGAGGATCCTAGTTCTTTTGTTGCAGAAAGTGAACACAATCACCGCAGGAAGAAAAAAAAGTGGTTGCTGGCTAAGGTGATTGTATGCTGCTCAGAAGGACTGCATTCTATTTTTGACTTTAGCACATACTACTAAATTAGCCACTTAAAACTCATTTTTCATAGGTGGCCAAGAACTGGGTGCAGGGTTTTGTTGAAAGCCAAAATTCTAACCTTGTGCTTTTATGGCTAAAAATGTAGCAGGAATGTAATGTAATTAGCTGTAATGCTATCTTCTCCTTATTTTATGAGGATGTCATCAAAATACATTGAATACTTCATGAAACTCTAAGCTCCTACACCATTGAACAGCAGTGAAAAGTCTGTAACAAAATTACTAACTCTGTCTTCAGAGCAGGATTTGAACAGTAAGTAGTAAGGCATAGAGTCCCACATCAAGCATCAAAGAGAGAACAAAATATTGAATAGTTGTTCATTAAATGACTACCATCCTTTCTATGTGCTGAACGGGCTCATGTCATTGATGACTTTGCAATCAAATGAAAGGGGAGGCAAATCAAAGTTCTGCAAACAATACGAATTATGGCTTTATTAATTCTTCATTTTCTAACTTCAGAATGCTTGACTTTGCAGCCTTAAAAGGTTTTATGTGATTTTTGTGTGGAATTTACAGATACATTATGTAAAACAAAGCATTAAGGACTCCCTGTAGATTAAAAGTGCATTGACTAACATTTTTGAGACTTTAACCCTGATTATTGTGGATTAGTTTAAAGTATACATTTATCAGAGCAAGCTTTATCATAATATTAGAATTTCAAAAAGGTCCACAGAGTTTTGAACTAGTTGAACTAAGCAAACAGTAATGAGGCAGTGCAACTCTGTGTATAAATAGAGTTAAGACAATAATATGAGAATTATTTCAAGAGTCAGGGAAAGTGCAAATTAATATAAAGTATTTTTGTATTTTAGCTAATTATTCCTTTTGGAACACTACACTGATTAAATTATGCCTATAGCTAACATATTTGAGCATCTGTGTCCCATTGCTTCGATGCATAAAGTTGGCCCTGGGTCAATGGCACTGTAGTAAGTTGGTCTTACAGCTCCTTCTCTTGTTATCTTCATCAGTATATGTAGTTTGAGCTGTTAATAACTTTTCCTGCCTCTTAAATTCAAGCTGTAGGAGGTATAACACAATCCCAATACCAAGAAGATAACCACTGAATACCAGCCAAGAAGATAGGACCACACTTGTAAATCAGCTATTAGAACACTACGGATTTTCATGTTTATGGCTTTACACAGAAGACCTTTCTCTAGGGCCACGTTCATCTGTCTTCTACCTCACACAGCTGCCAGAATTATGTTTTCTAAAGACCTTTATCTGAATTTTCTCAAAGATGCAACAATCCTGTCATTTCTGCACATATGACTCAACTGCCCTCCTCTGAGCTTCCTCCCTGGATTCCTGCAAGCTGTTCTGAAAAGCTGGTTCTGGAATCAATTTTGTAAAGGTTTGTATGTGAATCATCAGGACCTTTAGCATTTCATCTGTGAACATTTTAACAGTGAAAAGGCAAATAGTGAATGACAGTAAAACAAAAAAACCTTAAATCCACCATTGTTTTCATGTTCATCACCACCCCATGCTTGGCTTGGGATCAGCTTTCCCTTTGCTTACTCATTCCCTGTTCTGCATTTTCCTGCCATGTTGTCAAATGTGCAAAGAACCGATTTATCCCTGCCCCACCAACATCAGCATTTTACCATGTTATGCCCCCAATTACTGTGGAAAGGTTTTGTGCAGCCTGCAGGTTAGGACTGTGCTATTTCTATTTCAATTTCAAGGCTTGAATTATAAGGGCTAGGATTAAACAGAGAGCTTTACAACATATCTGGCAGCTTTGCATTTGGAAGTTTGCAAAGAAGCTGGGTACCTGTTTCAGTGGTGTAGTTACTTTCCTTGTTCTGTATCACTTGATATGTCATTAAGATACAATTGCAGTACTGGACTTTCTGCATGCCAGTGTACAATCAGTTCCATTTAGTCACAGTAAATTACACACTCATCATTGTCCTATGAAACAGCATAGTACCAGTGAGTCAATTATACCTGACAGTCAGATGGCTCTGTGTCCAGTGTCTTCCTCTTATGCCTGATTGTCTTGCCATTAAACTCAATGCTGGTCACCTATTGAGTTAAAAAAAGTAGGATTTGAAGAGATTTTAAGAATAATGTGAAAATTGCTATCATTATTTTCTTCCAAAACATTTACTGAAATAATAAATATTTTTTGCAATTATTGGGGTTTTTTTAATTTCCTCCTTGTTTTTCTCTTCCCTCTTTTGCTATTCTCACTCCCTTCCTCCATCAGTTTGAAAACCTACGTCCATAATGTCACCTTTGAAAAGGGCTTTGAGAGCTGTAGATAAAAAACTCTTCTGTGTAAGTGTCAATACAATACATTTCAAAACATCTTTTTTCAAGGTAATTACATCACCTAACAGTAAAAAAGGGATTAACCAATTAATCTGGATTTAAACATCCCCCTGAACAACTGAAAATTGGGAAGAGTGCAACATTATTTTTAACTCCAGCTTTCTCCTCCTTGGTTTAGCTCAGTTAAATTTCGGAAGAGGAAAAATGTGAAATAAAAATCACTAATCAGATGCTGTAGAACTGAGCTAAAGACCTGCCCCATCTAGTTTTCTTACCTGGCCCTAATCATATAATTTCATCTATCCTAGTCCTTAGCTGCCTCTTTGTTAAACAGGATAACACATGTACGAATCTCACAAAATTCTGAGAAAACTTTTTATCAGGGAATGAGTCAGTAAAGTCCAATGGCAATTAGAACCATACCAACAGATATAAATAGTACACGTAAAACAAATTCATGCCTTCTAAAACATTCTGTAAATGTGTCCATTAGGACATCACCTCAGTTACTAGAACAGAACAAAAGTCTTGCTAAAGTTAGAATAGTAATTTTTTAAAAAGCAAGAAAATTCTCATCACATCAGAGTGAAACAAATCATACTAATCCAAAATCCATGGAGAAGTAAAATTGTTTTAAAATTGTTTAATTTACTGGGTCTGCAATGAACATGCAGTATCAGTTTGTACTGAGAGTAGCAATGTCTCAACAATACATAACAAATCACATACTAAGTACTGTAAGATTGTCTGCAAAAAATGCAATCTTGTAAGTTATTATTGCAGTTCTGGAGGAAATCCAGCCATGCTGAGAAAATCTGTGCTGAAAAAAAAAAGTTTGTAAGAAGAGAGATAATGTTTTATTAGACAAATATAAGGACCATAAGCCTCAAAGCTTATTTTTCCCATTACATCTGCTAAAATATATTTTCCTATAAGCCTAACCTTTCTTATAGGTTCAGAAGCATTACTTTAAAGTAAAGCATAGCAAAGAAACACTTTACTGTGGTTGATAAATATTAACAAACAAATGGACATATGAAATGACATAATAAAACATGTCCATTTGGAACACTTCCTTTGCCAGTAAAGCCTCAGATAGCTTATAAATGAAAAAGATTAGAAGATTTATAATAATTTTCACTGCTCTCTACACAGCTCTAAAACTGTGTAAAGCTATTAATTCTCCCCTGCTTATTTGGATTTTTCTCATAGCAATGAAAAGAACAAAAATTTAAAACTTTGAAGAGACACTGTAAAAACATAAAAATGGGTGGAAAAAGTTCACTGTCATGAAAAAAACTTTAAAAGCTTTTAGTTCATTTTATCTTTAAATGACTACAGTTCAAGTTCACAGTGTTCCTTAAACTATGAGAGATGTTTTGACTGCAGCCAGACTCATCAGTTATGCATATCTTGTCATGCTCTTTGGAGGTCTCCATATTTTTTTCCACTATAATCTGTGGTTTTCAAAAAGACTCCAGTTCTAAAAGCAGTATCTGAACTAACACTAGAGATCTTAATTGCCAGACACTAACTGACATTTACTGTTTATGCAGACAAGCTGGAAACCGTGTACACATTTGAAATTTATTGTGGGTGAATTTGTATTATTTTATGATTAATGATTTGCATCAAATTATATTTGTGTGTGTGTGTGTATGAATTCTCTGGCTTTATATGATCTACTATTAGAACTCCTTTGGAAAAAGTATTACTCAAATAATGCCCATTAGCCCAAGCATGTCCTACTGAAACACTATCCTGAAGCCATCATTCTGCAATAGCTAAGTGGTTCCAATGATAAAAAACCATGATTTTGCTGGCTACCCAGATTGTCCTTTCTATTGCACTTACCGATTGCCTCTACAGCCTGAACTACTGGTATTCCAGCTTCTGACACATTCCCATACCAGCAGACCTGTGTCTGTACAGCCAAGCCTGAAGTGTCAGTGTAGTCTGGTACTTAGCTCCTGATTTCATTGTCCTCAGAAAAGCAGTACATGCCGTCCCACTGGAATTCTGCCCAGCAAGCTGCACAAATACAGAAGCAAATATAAACAAATTAAGGAAACAATCAGAACATAAGCAAATACTGCCATAAGGAATCTCTCTTTTAATTATAAAAATAAAAAATACATCAGCAGTAACTCTGGAAAGCTCACTGGGTCAGGAGCTACCATTAAAAGCAGGAAATTTCTGTGGGAGTTATCAACTTCTAAATTCAAATACTTTTACTTTGTGTTGCTACCAATGTTGATACTGACCAGGATCCATAGTATGCAAAGATGGACTATGAAATCCAGGGTTTCCATTGACTCATAAACATAGAAGGAGTTTCAGGCTCAGATAGCTAGATCTCCTAAATCACACCTAGAACATCCAGCTGTATCACACATAGTGTCTCTCAAAATGTGGAATAAGGTACATACTATACAATACAATTTTATGCTAAGACTTACATACCATAATTCCTGTCTGGATATTTTAGTGTGTCCTTTCTATGCCTCCTGGGCTTTTAAATCTTCCCCAAGTGCTCAGTTTGGGATGTATGCCAAAAAAATGTACAAATTTTCAGTTCTCTTCTACTTTAATTTAGACAGTGACAAAAAAATGTTTTTTTTGAGAAAGCACAGGCTAGGCCACCAGTCTGTCAGATGGTTTAAAAATTGGCTGGACCACCAGGCTCAACTGGTTGACATGTAGCTAGTGAAGAACAGTGTTCAGCATCTTGATCAGAGGCCCAGATGATGACACAGAATGCACACCAAGCAAATTTATGAACGCCAAATTAAGAAGTGTCTGACATGAGGACTGGCAGAACCTAATTCAGGCAGATCTTGATAAATTTGAGGATAAGGTAAACAGATACCTCAAGCTCAACGGAGAATAACCCAAGCATCAGGACAGGCGGTAAACTGGCTGAGCATCAGCCCAGGAAAAGGACCAGGGGATCATGGTGATGTCTGGCCGAGCATGAGCCCATTTAAGCCAACAGTGCACTCACCCTGCAAATAAAGCAAACTGCACCCTGGACTCCATCAAGAGAAGTGTGGCAGGGAAGTTATTATCCTACACTCATTAAAACAGAGAAATTAGGAGCAAAAATTTTCACAGAGCATGACAAATTCTGCTTTAACTAAATGTTTATCTAGTATGCATAGAAAGAAAAAGACCACCTTTTCATAAAAATGGGCATAATCTAGCTGGGAAATTAGAAAGTAGCAATCCTTGCCAGAGCAGTGGGTTCCTGGCATAGTTTTCTGCCTTCAGTAGCAGGGTAAACCAATCAAGATAGTTGTAAAATGGAGGTAGTTTACGAAAAGAACGATTTAATAATGTTGCACGTGACAGCAAGTGGTGATGCAGGTCTCATCCAGACCCATAGTCTTGAATGCTGCATATAAAAAGTGATAAAAACAGAAAGAAGTTAAAGAATACTTTCTGAAACATAATAAAGAGGGAGAGAAAAGAGGAGAGAGAAACATATGTTTGTTGGCAAACAAAGTCCCTGGAGGTAACAAAGAGGGAAGCAATACTGCTCCTAGCAAAACAGCAATACAACATTTTATACAGCGTATGCCACGGGTCATCATGTAACAGACAATCCAGAATGATTCCCTGGAATCCCTTATCTAAAAAGCAAGGTCTTTTTACCCTTTAGTCATATCACCATAAGCAGAGACAATTTGAGGCACCACGCATGCACAAATATATGACTTCGAAAGAACAAGTTTATTTGTGTGTAGCACTTTGCATTTTAGGTCCTAGTGGTTTTTAAAAACCCTTAATGGTTTTTAATTTTGCACATTGTTATGCTGATTAATAATATTTGTACTGCTTGCTGCAATTGCATTGTTGTTCATTAAAAATTGAGAAGGTAATTGAGCTCTGCATTCATAGTTTTATGTTTTAAGTAACTATTTAAATGTCTCCTTTTGTTACAATAATACATTAAAAAATTTAGTAAAATCAAGAGCAGAAGAAAGGCAGTGTAAGAGGTGGCAAAGGCAAGCATTGCTATGTCAGTGGAAGCAGCAGCATTGGCTGTAGGCAGAGATGTCCAAAAAAAGCTAAAGGAATACACTTCAGCCAGCCCCGAGAACAAACACACTTCTGATGACCCTGAGGTCAAACATGGGAAGCAAATAAGACTCTAGTGAAATTGGGAAGTCCCATTAACCACCCCATATGCCCCACTAACTAGGAGGGCAGCACCTTCTTCAAAGCAGTGCCTACTCATGAAGGATGATGCATTACCACTAACCTGATTAGCTGCTGCTGAGTGACACATGGAGATGGGGGAAAGTAGAAAAGGAGCTTCCAAACAGATGGATGTTTCTGCAAGAATGGGACCTGTCACATAGGTATGACTGTCCACAGAGACTTCAAGGAAATTGTTTCATCACTGCTGATAACCTTCAGTTTTCAGGCCCCATTAGGCACTGCTAGATGTCAGAGCCCAAGAGTGGCAGTGTATCAAATGAAACTGCTCTAGAGCAAGATAGAAAGGGCTGTTTTCAGTTCTACCTCTCACTCTTCATGGGACTGATCATCTTAGGTCTGAAGTCACTACGCTATTTCGAAGTTTATTGGGGGGAAAAATAAAATCACGGAATCGTGTCGCTGAAGTGTAAGAGGGTATGATGGCAATATAAGCATAATCCTGCACACAGGTAGTCAGATGAACCACCACTGCAATAATTACTGCCCATCATGCCATGCCAATTCACAAGAGCTATATCCAGGGCGATCCTCATAACTTTTATCTTTATTTCTGCCAGAATAGAGTTATAACAGTTTCAAGAAACTTTGTTTGCCAGGGAAGGCAGCAGGCTGTCACAGCTGACACAGAGGTTACCATGAGCAAGATTCCCATCTGACTTGAGGAAGTTAGATAATCTTGTTCTGTTTGAGTAAATTCTCAGACTGTTTCCTTTCAGATCCCATCGCTATAGCAAAGTTTTAAGATGGGTCAAATGAACTCCCACACAAAATGAAAATGCATAAACTCATAATAAGGAGCATTTTATTAACTGAATCAGTATAAAAAATGTATTGACAAGTATTAAAACTGACAGTAAATACCATTTTATAAAATCATTTACTGTTTAATGATAATTGTGTATGTAAATGTAGTGAAATGGATTTCCCTTAAAATTACATGCACCTTAGACCCATTGACAAAGCTCTGTTGCCAGTTAACATAGAGAATATTAGCCTGTTACTACTATCAGTTAATCCATTAGTGTCCCTGAGAGCTCTAAAGATTTAACCTTGTAGATAATTTATGTGTCTACCTGATACCACAGGATTAAATTTGTTGCTTCGAAAACCTAGGAAACCACACTTTTTAAAAACATACTTAAATATGTGTAGAACTCCAGTTACAAAAATGAAAGTAAAATTAAAACTTCAGTAAATCTCAGTTATTCAACCTTAATGGAAATGTTGGGGGGTGGGAGGGTGTATTATATGGTAATACACAATCTACTGCTTTGTCTATCTTCTTGGGCTGGTCCCTGTCATCATGGCATGAATCACAGCCTAAAGCCTTGTTGGCTCAAAAACTGCCATACTTGTCATTGCAGGATGAGATGCCAGTGGGAATTTAGTGCCACTGCTAATGCTAATGTTGTGTTTATTGCACATGCTTCAGTGCTTCCTAAAAACACAGTAAAAGCAGCTTCTTGTTCACTGAGAGCTCAATGCCAACACCGGTCTGAAATCCCTGTCAATGCAGACTCCCTGACCAGCTGACATGCACTGCTGCTTTCCTCCGAACCAGGGAAACTCCAGGATCTCCCTCTATAACGTCTTTCTGAGTGCACAATTATTCTGAGTCTGACAGGTAACACAGCACTCTGCCTCCAGTAGTGCAGGACTAATGCACCCCAGCATATATATGTATTTCAAGAGGTAATGAGACAAACTTCAGGTTGGGAAATTCCTGGAGCATGAGTTTTGGTGTGTAATAAAGTTGTATCTCTCTTAAAACAATTATAAAGTAGATTCAAAGAGATGAATCCTTGACAGTGTCTGGTTTTAATTTGAGTACTCTCACAACCAGGCAAGTGACTCTAGGGTGCCTTCCCCTAGTCTATCTTGTAGCATACTCTAACTCTTCTCAACAATTTGATATTCAAACCACCAACTTTGAAAAAAGGGACTTTCAACTTAGAGGAGCAAACTTTTGCAGACAGTTAACTCTGTAATGCCACATCATGTGGGATATAAAGCACTTCCAGAGAAGTCAAGTACACCCTTTCTAACTAATCCCTGAGGAATGAGCACTTTTATATTTGCCATATTACTCTGAAAATCACTACTCAAGCTAAACAAAATAAATTAAAACCCAGAAAATTAAGGTATCAGTAACTAGACAAGACAAAAGCATTCTCTCACAGCTAGCTGGCACTTTGTCTTAATCTCCAGAGTGTCTGGATGCCCATTCAGTTAACAGCTGATAGGGACAAATTTGCAGGTGATAGGACTGGAGCCAAACTGACTATACAAAACCTTATATTTCAGTTACATATCACAGAATAGCTCCCTTTTCAAGCCACACTTCAGATAAGAACATGAAGTGATTACAGTACCTCAGATTAGAAGGCCATGCAGCTCAGTGCTTTAATACTTGACAGTGTCCAAAAATAGATGCCTTGAGGAAAGGACAGGAACAAAGAATAATACTCCCTTAGCTTCCATCAGTGTGCACTTCAGCATTGCCTGAGAAAGCCTAGTCCCACACAAAGTTTAACCAGAACGAAGTTACCCTTTCAAAAAATGTTCAGTCCATGTGAACTGGCAGAGGAAGGCTGTACAACTGCACACTATGGAGTTGTAGAGCATTTATCAGGTCTGATGCTTAAAAACCATTTGTGCCGTTTCACAGAACAAGGTTAACTTTCTGCATTAGCAACTGCTTGAAGACAACCAGCTGCACAACACATTGCATGTTATCTGATTTACTTCCTTCACCTGACCTTTAAAATGAGTTGGTTGCTTTTCTTCTCACATTTGAAGGTGAGAACACTTCTAGCTTTCCTTGCTTAACTAGATTTTTTGTAGTGTTTTGTAATCTCATGGATCATACATTTTCAAAAGTAGCTGATAGTAGAAAGCAGAGTTAGGGTGAAATATTAAGCTATGCATCACCCACAAGCTTGGGAAATTTTGTCACAATTGTGCCACATTGCACTTTTTTATTTTCAGAACGCTTTCTCACAGCAGAGTCCATACCCTTAAGGAAAATCAGACTTAAATCTATCAGGGGATACTTAAGGTGCAGGAACACATGCTCTCTACCCCAGGTTACCTGTAATCCAAAGCCTACTCTCTTGCCATGAAACAAATAGTTCCAGTGAACTTGACTGGATCTCGTGCTACAGTATTGTGGTTTAACCTCAGCCAGCAACTAAGCACCATGCAGCTGCTCACTCACTCTTACCCCTCCTAGTAGGATGGGGAGAAGAATAAAAAAAAAAAAAAACAACCCAAAACCTAATTGGTTAAGAATGGTATAATAACTAAAATAAAATAAGCATGTAATAATAATAATTGTAATGAAAATGAAATTTAAAAAAAAAAGAGAGAGAAAAATGAAACCCAGGACAAGTGACACACAATGTAATTGCTCACCACTTGCTGACCAACACCCCAGCAGTGATCCACCCCCCAGCCAACCCTCCCAGTTTATATCCTGAGCATTGACATTCTATGGTATTGAAAATCCCCTTGGATAGTTTGGGTCAGCTGTCCTGGCTGTGCTCCCTCCAAGCTTCTTGCATACCTGCTTGCTAGCAGAGCATGGGAAACTGAAAAAACCCTAAATTTAGGATAAGCACTACTGAGCAACAACTAAAACATCAGTGTGTTAATCAACATCATCTTGCATTAAATTCAAAACACAGCACTGTAGCAGCTACTAGGAAGAAGATTAACTTTATCCCAACTGAAACCAGGACTAAGCATCTACCTAAGTCTTAATAAAATAGATGTTAATTATATGTCTAAACTAAAACCATTCCTTTACAGCTGTTTTTTAAACCTTTTACTTTAATCCATTTCCTATTCTGTTTTAAATTTAATAATTTATCCCAGTCTCTTATTTATATTTTTTTTTTTCTGTACAAACAGATAAATAGTTACTTGTGGATAAATAATTCTCCCACAGCTATGTACTGAACTAGCATACTGAGATAGAGATCAACTGAAATTCTGGACAGAACAATTTATGTGCTAGATAAACTGTCTCAACTCTGCTTTTGCTGTTCTAAAATGTCAGCTGACTGTATACACAAGTTTTGTCTTAAACCACTTTAGAGTATACATTGATAGTACGTACAAAATGCATGTGTACTTGCACACACATTTTGAATGAATAGCTGTGGAAAAAAACCAAAACAATGTACTAATATATAATTTATTTCCTCTAAAACTTTCCACACTGATAAAAGCCAGTCTTCCATAGCACCTAACATCTGCAGACACACACCATTTTGGGTATTAGTAATTAGTAAAATGTAACACGCCACAATACCATATTAAGAAAATATAAAGCACTTCAGCAAGAATCACTCTGCTCTCTTAGAGAAATCAAGTTGTAAATAACCTCCTTTAAAGGAAGAATGTTGTAAAAATTTTTTTAAATTAAAAACCTTGAGAAGTGAATTTGCTATGCACTCCTACAACTCCCGTGCTTTAATTTCAATTAGAAAGCCACTAAAACGAACCGTTTATGCCGCACTTTGAAAACTCTTGGGTCTTCTGGGATTTAGACAATTGATTAATTTTTCATATTTAAATAACAATGAGCTGAATCATAAGGGAATATGAATGTATGCATACCAACCCCCAATTTCTGAGCGCCTACCGCTAGTGTTACAGACACTGATGCAGCCTCCCACACCTCTGAAGCACCCAGCACAAAAATCTCCAGAGAAAATTATGAAAAAGACACTCGTGTCAAATCGTAGCACCATCGGGGGGGTTCACCACCTAGCACCGCGTCGGCGAGTTGCCCTAGCTGGTTTGGACGGGAAAAAAAACAGGGGCTGAAAGGACCTGAGGAAACTGCGGAGCTGGGTGCACTTTAAGGCGCTATTAGCTGTAACAAGCTTCCCCACGATGGTAGGTGGGGAAAATGGACTGCCTTTACAACGCAGGCCGAGCAGAGAGAGCGCAGAAGGGCTACCGGTAAGGGTGTGGTGTGCCCAAGCGGGTGCCGCTGAGGGAGAGGGCTACCCGCCCCTCCGCGGACATGGGGGCTTAAGGGAAGGAGACGTGGTGCTCTGGCGAACGCTGTATCCACAAGCCCGGCGGCCGGCCCGGCCCCCGGGAAGGAAGGGCGGGCTGGCAGCGGGGGCCTCAGCCATTCTCCCGCCTTCAGCGGCAGCCACTCGACGCGCCGAGCCAGTGAGGCGGCTCCCGAGACGCGAGGGGAGGCGGGAGCCGCCGGCTGGGGGAAGGCCAGCGTTCTCCGAGGGGAGGGGCGGGCTCCGGCCTACCTCCGAGCTGTGCTGCTCGGCCCCACGTTGCCTCGGCACTCCACTCGTGGTTGCGGCCCTTTTCTGCCTAGGAGAGTGCCGGAGAAGTTAGGGCGAACTGTGAGGAACAAACGAGTCGGGGGTGACAGAGAAGCTTCTCTGCAGCCAGGCGGCGCCATCTTGCAATACGGAAGAAAAACTGTGGCGGGCGCCATTTTGCATCTGAACGAAGGAGGGGAAGAGCCTCCCTATTTTTCACCGCTTGGGCGCCGCCATTTTAGGTTACGGCAGAATCTCCGCCTATTCCTAGTGCAACCGCGTAGGGCGCCGCCATTTTGGCGTACGAACAAGTCGGCGACCCGCAGGGGTCCTCACCCCTCCCTTCCTCCCTTTAGGTGTCTTCATAAAATGCCCGTGGAGAATCCTCTCTTTTTTCGCCCCGCTCCCAAGATGGCGTCGATGCGGGAGAGCGACACTGGCCTGTGGCTGCATAACAAACTGGGCTCCACGGACGAGCTGTGGGCGCCGCCGAGCATTGCCTCGCTGCTCACGGCTTCGGTGATCGACAACATCCGCCTCTGTTTCCACGGCCTCTCCTCGGCCGTCAAGCTCAAGCTACTCCTGGGGATGCTGCACCTGCCCCGTCGGGCGGTGGATGAGGTGAGAGCTGGGTAGGAGCTTGCGCGGGAAGCTTAACCGAAGCGGGGAGCGTGTGTGTGAGGAGGAGAGGTCGGTCGGAGATGGCGTGAGGGGAGAAGGGAGGGCAGCGCCAGTACCACCTCCCCCCCTTCGCAGGAAGCCTGTGGCGAGGGCAGACCCCGGGCCGCGGCGCGGTGCCGCCTCAGGCGGCCTCTCGCTGCCCCTTCCCGCGCGGCGGGCGGTTGGAGCGGGCGGCTGCCCGCGGCAGGCGGAGCGGGGAAGCCGAGCAGCGGCAGCTCCTCAAGGGCAGGTGCCCGCCCGCACTCGGCGGCGGGGGGTGGCGTGTATGGGAAGGCTGGACCCCACAAACCTCCCCGCTTCTTCCTTGTAGTCTTTTTTGGGCAGGGAGGGGGAGGAAGGTGATCTCGGCTAGCAGAGCGGTCCGTTGAGGCCCAGCTCGGAGGACTCGGTCCTTGTTGTGAGGAAAAGCGCCCAGATTCCCTGTGATAGGAGTGGAGTGGAAGCTTTGCTGCTGCTCCTCCTCCTGCTCTTCGGGGAGTCTTTGGTTGACACTGATCTTTTGAAAGCAGTTGTGACGTGAAACCCATTTTATGTCTCCACATGGACTTGTAGGGCTGTGTTTTGATACAGTTTGGGTGCCTTTGGGGAGGAGGGATTTTCTGAGGCAGTGGTTCTAGGATTAGGACAGAGAGGCAGGATCGTTTAGGAACTGTCGTGTGTGTTAGGCTTCCGTCACTCTCCTGCCTTAATTAATACTGGCAGCTGTGTAGGTGTCCCAAGTCGAACATCTCAGCTTTAGGAAGGACAGCAGCAAGTGCTGAAACTTTGGGAATAGAAGTTCTGGGGTCTGCACTCAACAGTGTTTTTCCCCACCTTTCTACAGTCAGGTCATGCTTGAGGAAAATTCCAGGCCTATTTTTGCTTCTCTTTACCTTTCTGGGAACAGCTGGTTCTTTCCTTTACTGTTCTACCCCAGCTAATAAACTGGGTGGCTCGAGTCTGAGCTGGCTCTGCAAGCTTATTCACTTGGCCCTGGACCATACCTCATCTGTAGCTGGCTTATTCTTACCAGTAGGCAGCTACTGATGTTTGGGACAATAGTTGGAGAATAATTAGGAAACATTTAAGTTTCTTCAGCCAGGTTTGAGGAATTCCTTTCCTACTTCCACCATGTATGGTATTGGTTCCTTGTAACTATCATGGAGGTGGTGCGTAGTTAATCTTTGCTTTCTTCTGAAGAGTATCGTCAGCAGTGCTTGCACCAGTCTCTTTCTTGGCTAGGATGCAGCTGCTGCTTAGGCTTATTATACATATATACTAGGCAGGGTGTGGGGAAGCAATATGTAACTTCATTTATTGTGTGCTCAGCTTTTGTATACTTCTAAGCTGAAAATGCACAAGGATCGCATTTAAGCAGTAGTTTAGTGCATGTTGGTGTCTGTCTTGCCACATGCATCTGTATGATCGTTCACCGTGTTTCATGTAATTGGTGTTATTTTAAAAAATTAAAATAATTCTCGTTCAGCATGTTTTAATTTTTAAACTATTCATGTTTAGTGCCTGTCCTTTTGCACAGGAAATCTTCCTTGTGTGTGACAAATGCAGTTGTTTTGGACAAACAGATAACCAAGGCCTGAAAGGGCGATTGGGAGCTGTGAACTCTTGAGTATGCAGAATTCTTCTGAAGTAGTGTAAAAATCCAGGTAGCCTGGAAGAAATGAGTATTGCAATGTTTAGGAAAAGCTAACACAATAGTGGTGGTTTTAGGTTGAAAGGAGCTTGAAAAGCTTAGGGATCTTCATAAATAACACTCAAGCCAGCTCTTTGAGGGAGCAGAATTCAAGCTAGGTGAAATAATTTGTTGAAATGCTGCAAGAGTGTGCACTGGGCAGGTAAAAACTTTTTCAACAGATTCTGAGGAAGATGGTAGCCAGCACCTTTACTTGATCTGTGCTTTAGCCATGAGGTAAAGTGCGTGTAAAAAAAGGAGCAAGTCAGTTGCTGTGCCTTTTAGTGTATTGTTAAATTGATCAGTTGTGTTCCAAATATAAAGCTCTTGTTACTGCTGTAACAAAAAATATTGTGGGACTTTTCACTTCTTTGGCAGAGTTTGTGAATGCAATCATAAACTTAATCTTTCATTGTAAACGGCACAGTTCATAAAGATCTAGGGATCAAGCATATTTTCAGTCCTTTGCACAGTACCTGTAATGACTTAATTATTTCAGGGACATGTGATTAATTTTTCTTTAACTGAGAGGAAGGGCTTAAAATTGTTAAAAATTAAAAACTCCTAAGGCAGAAACCCTTAATGTTGATAGTAGGTCTGGTATTATCATTACAGACTTCCTTCTATAAATGGCAAAAATAGCTGGTGTAACCGAACAGAAAGGGATATTATCTTATCAGATGCTCTTAATTTGTGGTGAGTTTGCTAAAATAGGTTGTATTTGTGAAGATTTGTTACAGAACTTGCTGTCAAGATTTTTGATATTTTAACTGACATTGGGTATCTTGCATGATACCCAGAATACATATATATGTATGTTTGTGTTCAGTATATGTGCACTGTGCTGTGTACTTCTCTGCAGTATTCAGTGCTCAGTGTACTGTGGAGTGCTGAGCATGGTGTCGTTTTGCTAGCAGAAATACACCAGTACAGGATGCCTGTAGCTGCCTGGAAGTTAAATTTGTCATTTGGAAATCACTCCTGTATTTGAAAATGATTGAACTTAACTGTGAAAGTACTTCATTAGTCTCTTTGGAAAGTCTTATGTGTGTTATCCATGCCATGTGCTAGTCTGGATCAATCATGTGTGAGAGGCACTGAGCTGGCATTTGGAAACTTAATAGTATTGGAAAATATATTGCATCAGCTTTGCAAAGCTTTGGGAATCTTGATAGTGGATGCAGGATGGTTTGTTACATAATGTGTTAAATTATATTCCCCACTCTAGATAACAGTTTGGGTTCAGCTATTTTCAAAATCTTATTTTTTTCATGTTTTCTGTGTTATAGCATTTTCACTGAGGCACAGAATAGCATGGAAACCATTTGGGAGCAGGCATCTTAAGTAAAAAGTTATGTGGGAATCAACTAAAGTGGTGGTATTTGGTTTAGAGGTGTTTAATTAGCTGCTGGTCCTTTCTAAATCTCTGTGAAAGCTTAAGTCTAGACAAGTGACTCTTGAATGAGCTCTCTTGAAAACTCAGTCCTTAAGTGTTTTTTTTCTCAAATGTAATATCCTTCAATTTTCATAATGTTTTCATTCAACACTCCAAATATTGTATAGATATAAGTAACTTAATCCTCATAATAATCCTGTGGGATAGGTAATAAACCTAATTTTTTATCATGCTGTGAACCTCATTACTGCTTGTTTGTTCCTGCTGTCTAATAAGAATAATTGGCTCCCGTTTTCATTTTAAGTTAATTGTGTTTTGTAGGCAGCTATCAAAAATATCCTTTCCTGCTGTAATTCTCCAGGCAGAACTTGCTAACTCTTGAATCTCCCTGCCCCCCAGCTTTTCGTCTGCTAATTTTTTTTCTAGATAATCGCACTTAGTTGAAATGATGCCTAAAGCTCATTGTATTGCTGACCAGAGTTTCAATTGTGAATTTGGCAGAACAGTTACTTCTGTTTATTTTGTATATTATATTCTTGTTAACCTGATTCACAATGGCAAGTGCAAGTTTTCTTTTTGTGCTAATATTTAATTTGTTTGTTCGGGGTTAGACTGTGATGTTACAGCCAAGTCTGGAATGAGGACTGTGCTGCTGTGCTCTCTGAATTATCTTGAGAGGGAGATGCAGCCTATCCCGGCAGTGGTCTGCCTTTTTATTACAGCAGCTGCAAGAAAGCAGAAGTTAATACTGTTTCTTCTTGCTTACTTACACGGATCAGGACTCCCTCTATTCATGCAAGTGGGAGTAGTGGAGTACTAGCGCAAGGGAGTAAGAGGGCGCATGGCACTTGCCTTTCCATCTGAGTTCAGAACAGTCGGGCTGCTATGCATCCTTCTATCCTGCATTTAGTGTTCTTATTTTTTTCTGTGATGTAATATGGTATATTTTAATCTAACATTACTCTTGGCCACTTCTACTCTTTTTCATGATTAAAATACAAAACATGGTAGTGATATTTGATCCATCCTAGTTTTGTATCGTGTAAATATTAATACCGTACTTTCAATCCAGTGCTTAGCTTAATGAAAATGCTCTATAATAATACAGGTACCTATTAAATATCACCTTATCTGTGGCCCCCAAAAGATTAAAACTTGATTTGGTTTATTAGCCAACTGTTGATGCAATTGTCTGAAGGTATAGTCATATATATTTAGGCATAATATAAAGCAAATGAATGGGAATCTTTTGTGAGAAGTCATCTTGGAGCTATCACTTTGCGTGTTTCTAGTAAGATTTCCGTTTTTTACACCTTCCCACGATGCTGTTTGTGTATTCTTCCTGTACAGCCATCT